TTTTTTTTTTTTTTTGGTACCGGTGATTGAACTTGGGACCTTACTGCTTGCAAGGCAAGCAGCAGAACCACTGAACTAAATCCCCAGCCCTAGGATTTTCCATTTTCTTGAATTATCACTACTTTAGTAATAGAGCTGTGCCAGCTCTCTTTAGTGTATACACAGCACCGTATATGTTTCCATTGTTTATTTTCTCTCCCTTTCCACTTCAATGTGTATTAATACTTTCTTATGATTCCTTTTTGTTTTTATTTTTTTGCTTTTTCTGCTGTTAACAGATTTCTGCCTGATTTGTTTCTAGTACATTGTTTTTAGAAAACTTTTGGGGGGAGTACCAGGGATTAAACTCAGGGCCTCCCAGTTTCCAGGCAGGTGCTGTGCTGCTGAGCTACATCTCTGGCCTGTGTAGTTCATTGTTTTTCACTGTACACAGTCTGCCGGCAAACCTATTGAATTCTTAATTTAAGTTACTGTATGTTTTAGTTCTTAGTTTTCATTTGGTTCTTGTTTGAGTTAGTTTTCTGTTAAAGTTCTCATTGTTTTCATTCTTTTTTTAAATTCATGGTTATTCTTAAAACAGAGGTCTTGTCATTTTATTATTTCAATATCTTGTTTCCTTTTGGACAAATTTCTATGATTTTTTCTTAATTTTTACAGTCACATTTTATTTTCCGTCTTTTTTGTCCCAGAGAGGGGAGTGCAGTGCCTCTTAAACATTAAAATCAATAATTTACTTTGGCTCATTTTGAACGATTTGTTTTGATAAAAATATATTTAGATAATACTACCAGGACTGAAAAATACTAACATCAGTTCATCTGAGAACTTAAAATGTGAAAACGATTGTTTCAGCGTGCTTTGCACTGTGTATGCAGCTAGTGATACACCTCTTAAGATCACATACTTCACCCCAGTTCTGTATATAAATTTGTTTTTCCCTTCTGAGATTGACTTTCTTGTTTGTTTTGAAACAGAATTTTGCTATGTATTCTAGGCTGGCCTTGAACTTGTGGTGATCCTCCTGCCTCAGGCTCCTGAGTGCTGGGATTATGGGTGTATGCCACCACACCTGGACTCAGAGTTAATACTTTTTAAAGTTACATCCTTTTTGAGTTTTGTTACTTTACCCTACTAATGATAACTCAGTTAATTTAGAATATGATTTCTGCAAATGCTGATCCATTGTACCTATTTTCATGTCTTTCAGAGACACTGTAAGTAGAAATACCAGGCTGGGTGTGGTGGTACACACTTGAATCCCAACATCCAGGAAGCTGAGGCAGGAGTGTATTGCCAGTTGAGGGCCACCTGGGGAGCATAGTGAAACTCTGTCTCTGTCTCTGTCGCCAGGAATACCACGCACGGTTTAACAGTGTGTAGTGGTGAACTTGGTGGTATGCCTATATATTGACATTGTCCTTACCTGGGTGCTTCTGTTTCAGTCGGATTCAGTGGTTTTGGTGTCACAGTCCAGGCAGAGGACATGTAGACGTAAATATTCAACTTACGGCAGAAGAAACGTTGGCCGTCGTGAGTTGTCTTCTGGAAATGAATCTTCGTGCTCTGTAAGACATGTGAGTAGAGTAACTTTTGACTGTACAAGATAATCGGAAGTGAATTTATCTTAATTCTTTGAACCGACCCCAGACTTTTGTGAAAATAGTGTTCTCCTGAAATCAAAATGAAATTCCGTGACTCGAGTTGGGAGAGGGTGGAAGGTCTTTCTGTGCTGGGCAGCCTGGCCTCGAGCTGCTGGTGTGCAGTGATGCTGCCTCTCCTTCCTGAGCTGGGACTCTGCACACGTGCCACCACGTCGCTCCTCCGTTTCTCACAGCTTTGTTGAGACATCCTCTACCGTGTACCCCTAGGACCTCGCAGTTTCAGTGAATGACAGAGTTGCATCATCGTCAGAATTTACTTTCTAAACATTCTCAGCACCCCTGAAAGAAACCCTGTACTACTTTACAGTCACTTCGCATTTCCTGCCTCTCCCCAGCCCTCAGCCACTACAAGTATACTTTTTGTACACCTGCTTATTCTGGACGTTTCATATAAATGAAATCATACAGTCTGATTTTGTGACTGATTTCTTTTATACAGCATTATGTTTTAAAGTCTGTTTGTGGCGTGTATCAGTGTTGTTATTGCCTGATGGTGTGTAATTGTAAGGAAATTTATCACAGTTTATCCATTTATCAGCTGAGGCCTATTTGTTTTGTTTCCATTTTGGGGCTGTCATGAATAGTGCTACTTAGCTACATTCATGCTCAAGTTTTTAGTTGGTCTTACGTTTTCAGCTCCTTTGTGTGTGTGTACCCAGCATTTGATTTGCTGAAGACTTACAGACTTTCCAAAGTGGCTGTACCATTTTACATTTCCACTAGCCAGATTTCAGATTCTCCTCATCCTCGTACTTGTTATTATCTTAGTTTCTTAGTTTCTTTCTTGTTGCTGGGACACAGTACCTGACACCCACCAGTTAAAGGAGAGTTTTATTTTGGCTCACGGTCTGTAGAGGTTTCAGTCCATAGTCAGCTAGGTCCAAGGCAGGACCGTGTGGCAGAGGGGCTGCTGAAGAGAACAGTGCATGTCAAGGAGCAGCAAGCTTTCCTTCTCCTTTGTTCCATCTAGGCCACAGCCTTTTGTTTGTTGCTACCCACATCCAGGGTGAATCTGGCCTCTTCAGTAAGTCTATCACCCACACCCAGAGCTATGCTAATAACCCAGTCAGTGGACTGATCCAGTGTCACACACCCATTATCAGTCACTCCCCAAAGGCCCACCTATGAGCGTAGGAGGCTTTGGAGTGACATCTAGATAGAAGCCGAAACAGTTGCTTGTCCTTTTTGTTTAAGCTATTACCCTAGTGCAGTGGTGGTGAACCTATGGTACGTGTGCTGCAGTCAGCTGTTTGTATCATTGAAAGCTCTAAAAGGTTTGCCATCACTGCCCTAATGAGTGCTCAGTGCTACCTTGTGGTTTCAACTTGCATTTCCTTAGTGATTAATAATGTTAAACATATTTGCATGTACTTGGTTAACATTAGTATATTTTTGGAGAAATACCTATTTAAATCTGTGGTCCAACTTTGAATTTAGATTTATGTCTTTTTATTTTAGCAAGTTCTTTAGTCTAGGTATAAGTCCTTGAACAGATATATGACTTGTAAATATTTTCTCCCATTCTGTGGGTAATTTTTTCAGATATTGTCCTTTGAGCCTTTAAAGTTTAAATATGATAAAGTAAATTATTTTTTTTCCTTCTTGTCTCTTGTACTTTTACTGTTGTATCTACTTTGCCCTATATGTGCTTGACTTTTAATGATCATAAGATACTGGTCTTCATTTTGATTTATTTTGGGAAACTAATATTTTAGGGAAGAGTGGTTAATATTTAACATTAGAAGCTGGGGATTTAGCTCAGTGGTTCTGTTGCCTGCCTCGTAAGCACAAGGACCCAAGTTCGATCTCCAGTACCAAAAAAAATTTAAAAAATTGTTAGAATGTTAGTGGTGTTTTTTTTTTTGTTTTTTTGTTTTTTTTTTTGGTACTGGGGATCGAACTTGAGACCTTGCGCTTGTGAGGCAGGCAGTAGAACTACTGAACTAAATTCGTGGCCCAGAATGTTAGTATTTTGATTCAGTAATGTTTTGAGGAGTGAATTGCTCCCTGTGGCTGAACAGCACATTTGATTCCTTTATAAAGCATTAGGATAGTAGTTAAGCATGGGATTAGCGTTAGAATACAATTCTCGTATGTAGACACATTGCTTAGTCATTCTGTGCCTTTGTAATAGTATGTCCCACAGTGATGTTGTGAGAAGCAGTTTAAGTTAATGTTCAGTTTGAAACAGTGCCTGATAGGCAGTGATGTTAGCAGCCACTATTAGCATCAGAGATCTTCATTGTCATTATTTTGTTTTATATAACTGAACTGTTTTTGGATTATTTCTTATTATGTTCTAGACGTATTTTAACACTTAATGGTTTTGTGTGATTTGTGATAAAACCTTACCAGCCCTTTGGAGAAGCACAAGGCATGTATTACCTCTCCGCATTCCTTGTGTTCTGTGGTGTAAACTGGGGCTCTTAATGCTGAGCTCGTCATTTTAAAGCACAGTCTCATAGTTGTGTCAGCTGGGTCAGACAGTGGGGTTAAGTAGCTCAGTGGGAAGCCGCTACTTTACAGACTCTTATTGGTCAGGGAGTAGTTCCTCACACCTTCCAGGTGCTCCCAAAAATGTGAGTGCCTGCTCTTCTCACAGTATTTCTTCAAATCACCCACTGAAGGAAGATGTTTTCTGTGGCAGACTTTGTGTTGGGATTTGAAGTTGAGTACTGACAAAGAGATTTATCTCCTTGTGAATGAAATCCCTTGCATATATTTCTAAAATCCCTCGTCATTCAGGGCAGAGGTTTCGACTGCTCTTCCTTCCTACCCTTCATGCCAGCACGCAGCCATCATTTTCCTTTTCCTCCCTCCCTTTCTGATTTTGTACAAGGCATCCAAATTTTTTCTCATCTCTACATTCTATTTAAAGCATGTTTTCATTTCAAGCTTAAAATCCAAGACAAGGTGATTACTCTGCTCCATCATTGGGCTTCTAGATTTAATGGAAAAAGCACTAAATTTAGACTGGAAAGAAACCTGGTCTTTGTTGACTTTTGATTAACTTGCTATCTCTGATTTTTAAAATCTATGAGCCTTTTATAGTCTTTGAGGAAGGGACAATATCACTGTCCTTACACGGACATTGTACAAATACAGTAATAATTTATGTGAAACTTAATTGTGAAATAGCTTATGTATAATATACATCATCATTTATAGAAACATCTTTAGTTTGTGTTAACTGATCTGTTACATATGGTTCACTCTTCTAGTAGCTGGACATTATAAATGTTCAGAATATATAATATAATATTATAATTTCTCCTTATAAATGAGGAGAATGAAACCTATGAAAGGTCTGTGTGGAATCAGGAAGGCTGAAGGCTGAATCACAAAGTCATGGCCCAGTTTTCCTAGGATAACACTGTTTCCTCTCAGGTCTGTTTCTGTGTGTTGTGACTGTGTATGATTTTCTTTTTGATCTCTCAGTTATTTTCTGTCATCTTTATGCTCTTTGATGTTTTTCTTTTTCTCTGTGTGCATCTCTAAAGATTGTATAGCTTCCAGTATATGACTTAAGGAATTGAGTAATAATCAAGTTGGCTAGTAACATTGTTGGGAATTAAGGGTTATAGGCTTTGGGTTCAGTAGGAAGTGGTACCCCAGTGAGTATGGTACATAATTTGAGAATAACTATTGCTTTATTCCTGTTTCTTCCCCTGAAGTCCTTTGAGTTTGTCTGACAACATAGATACTGTGAGATGGCTGCCTTTAGGAGGTATAGGACTCATGTATAAGATCATTCTAAGGTGGTAGGAGTGGTTAGTAGGATTATTAGTATCAGCAGGGAAATAACATGGATTAAGGTGATTTTTATTTAAGAATCATGGGATAAATACGATATATAACAACTGCTATGAAGGGTGGTGGTGCACACCTGCAATTGCAGCACTCTGGGAGGCTGAGGCAGGAGGTTTGCATGTTTGGATCCAACCTGGGGAATGTAGTGAAACTAACTTAGACAATAACAGGTCTGGGGCTGCAGCTCAGTGTGAAGGCTCTGGGTTCATTCCCCCTTGCCACCAAAGTGGGAGGCGTTTGTCAAGTCGGAAACATGTTTTGTTATAGTGGGCACACTGGCACACTGTCCTGAAAGTTTTACATGTTGTATGACTTGTCCTTCCAGCGGGTACTTTTGCTGCTGCTTCTGCAAATGAGAAAACTGAGGCAGCATTGTGAGGTTTAGGTAGTCTTCCCACACTGGTGCACTGTGACTTCAGGGCACAGCCTCTTGTCTTCCTGAAGCATCAATTCATTTGAAGATTGGGGAAATTCAATTGTGTATTTTGATGTCATTTCAGATGTTAAATGTTTTAAGAATAGTAAATTTGTTTCTTCATCTTGAATGATTTCATTTTCTGATGACAAGAACTTTTTTCCTGACCCTTTTGGCAGTGACTGATAACCGCTTGACCCATGTGCTTCCAGACAAGGGTGTTCTGTGATGTGCCATGGTATAATGATCCAAATCAGGAAATAGATGTTAATGTGATGTTACCAGGTATGCATATGTCACTCAGATTTTGCCAGTGGTCCTCATGATCTTCATAGTGAAGGATAACCTTAAGATAATGTGTTGAGTTCGGTGTGTTTCTAGTTTCTTTTCATCTAGTCAGCTCCTCAGCTTTTGTTTCATGTGTGTGGTTTTGAAGACTCGTGACCGGTAATTTTGGTTGGTGTCATGCGGTTTTTAGGAGTGGCTCCATAGACAGTGATGTGGTTTACTCAGTGCATCAGCAGTAGAAGGTCACAGTGTGTCTTCTGCCACTGTGATAAGCGCTGTGACCATTTGGTTAAAGTAAGAGTTCCCAGGGTTCTCTTAGTGAAATTAATTTTTGCCCTTTGAGTCTGTTAGTGTCACGTTCCTGTTCCATCGTTCACTCGGTTTCAGCAGCCTTGGGGAT